GGAGACGTTGCGTGTACCTGATGGTCTGGAGAGGATGAAGCTATTCTATCCTTTTCGAACTAGTTCTCATCAAAAACTCTTGACTGGGTTCATCGCTTATTGGCTACAGCTTTTTCTCCTCGCTTCTCAATTGGTCTCCCACTTGTTTCCAGATGTAAATGGAGCTCCGTTCCGGGCGCGGGAGAGGTCAGCTAGAGATTGTCTATCCGACACCTAGACTCTGATCGCGTTTTGTCGATGACTATGACACCCACGCTCATTCTAATATTTTTCTAGTTTCGTTTTACTCTCTAAACTGCGTTTTAAGTTTTAAATATTTCCCTTTTTAATTTTCTTTATCTAAAATTTTGTTTTTCCCGCTATTCTTTATGAGCGTCGACGTCAAAGTCCGGTGTCGCCGACTCGACACTTATATAATTTGTTTTCTTGAAGGTTGAACTTAACAATTTTATTATTTATTTTTTTTTGCGCTATTTCCGGGCCTCACAGATACAACTAAAACTGGAATAGTGTCGATTAAGGAGATTGCCGGATTATTAGTTTATTCGGTGGCTTAATCGTTCGGAAAGAAAACATTCGTTTACTTATTTGTATTAACCAAAAACACATATTGAATATCAAGAAAATATGGAAAAGAAACAATCAATTTGAGCAGCTTAAAATGAGCCGAATACTCTTTAATATCGTGCCCTAGTTGGGGCTCGGTATCATACCTCTTTTGGTGGAAATTTGTTCAAATTTAGTGGGAACTTGAGTTTGAAATAGTGGGAAAATTGTCTACGACATACAACAGTGTCAAGAATACCCGAGTCTCCTAGTGTTTTATTATCGAGATTGTACTGTATGTTTCCTAGATCTCTATTAGTATAACACTTACAACAGTAGACGGCTAATGGCCGAGACAGTACAGACATTAACTTGCCACTCTGGTAATTCAAAATCACAGCCTCAAGAATTTTCATGGATGATTTAATCCGTTGATTCCTGGCAGCATACAATTTTGAAGTGGACCATACCCATAATGAGCATGAAAAAAGCAATCAGTATGCACAGTGAAGAAAGAGTAAACAAAAATCCAACCACAAATATAAAAAAAAACGAGACTGTTTTATAGCATCAAACGAGACGTTCATTTTTATTTCAAAGGATAACTTTTATACATTTTTATATTTTGGCTGTATATAAAATAAATGCATTTAAATTTGCATAATTATTAATTCATTTAATTCGTATTAATTTGGATTATACAAAAAAACTTTAATACGAATCCTCAAATTACAATTAATGCAAATTGACCATTTAAAAAGCGAATTCAATTGATGGTATTAGGCAACGACATTGTTTTAAAGAATTTATTTTATGTATTTGAAGAAGTAATATACGAAAAAAACGCAAAGAATCAACAATACAGGTTTAGCAGTTAATTTTATCCTTCCCTCTTTTCCAGCATAATCACATCCGCAAAGATTCGGAACATTTTCTTGGCATCGTTTATGGACGATCATATTACATGCTGCAAAATAATAGAAAATATAACATAAACCTTGTAAAAATATTAAATTAATTGATTATGTTTCCAGGAAGAACATCAATTACAGCGAGGGAAAGAACTAATTAAATAAATGAAAGAATTTTCAATGTAACATTAGTGAACAGCATTCAAAAATACTGTTCTAAAAAAATTAAGAATAAAAGTGTAGATATTCATTAACTGCTAATTTATTCTATATGAAAGTAAATTTAATAAATGCTAATTAAGAAGATCAGTAGCTGTAGTTATGAGTAATTCTACAACCTTCCACAATGACAAAGAGAAGCTCCAATTAAAACAAGTTCAAATAATTATCTTAAAATGAAAAGATTTATATGCAATGAAACTTTATAACCTCAAATAATGCATTTCTTCGAATTTTTGGCCAATTAATTATAAAGATTTGTAAATAAATGCTTACCTTTGCATTTGAGTCCTTGATAGATGAGGCCATAAAGTAGAGAACCACAATGTTCGCAGAAAGTGGGAGTGAAGAAAGTATTGGCAAGAAAATTGTGTTTCGTCCTGACATCCTGTAATTAAAAAAAAAGGTCAATAATTAATAACAATTTAATTTAAAATATTTCTTAAACTGTAAAATTTTGAGTGTTCTGTATGTTAAAATGAGCCGTAATTTATTGTAGAGTAATAAGGTGTTAAATAATCATTAAAGATTTTGTGAATTAATCTCGTTCACTGGTGTGATAAACCCGCATATATATGTGTCTATTTGATATAGACTAAGTGTTAAACAATATAAAGGGCTAAAAACAATAGATTATTCCATCGTACTATAAAAATTTACAATAGATAATGGTCACATGAATAGGTTTGGGCCTGGATTCCTTGAGGATATGCTCATACTTTAAATCGCTGTCATCTGTCTAATCCAGTGTTTTCCTTTCCAGACTACTGCCTCCTTTTAGTGTATATATTTCTATATTTCTTACATATATATTGTTTCAAAATAAATTTTTGTCCCCCTGTCTTCCAATACTCTATTACCCACAGCTCCAGTCTTCTGGGAATCACTGGTATAATAAAAAACTTTAAAATAATTATAAATGGCAATAAACGAAATACCATTAGAAGAGTACCGGAAATTCCTGAATAATAATTACAGGATATAATTTCTGGGATTTTTTATGACGTAAGCTGTCACACACTTATTTTAAACATTAACATAAAACGGCCACCTTTTATCAACGTGATTTATTCGTTGATTAATCAAAGAAAATCCGAGAATAAGTGTGCCACGCAACTTTCACAAATGAAATGGCATAAACCATAAATGTAAGCTTCCTTGGCAAATACATATTAAATTACTGGGTATATAGACCTAAAGACAATGATGCAACCTTACGAGTTAATCTTTCTTTGATACTATTGTTTTTGGATAGGCAGGCAAATAATGCGGTACACAGAAATTAAACCAGAGTAAGAAGGAAAACGGGCTGTCGTGACTAACATTTTCATAGAAACGAAAGCAGGAAACCATCACACTGGATACTAGCGAGAATCTACATTTTCATTTATACAAGTTCACACCAACATGAAAAATCAGAATTAGTTACTTTGGACTGGACACTTTCAGATCACATTACGAGTTTACCCAGTATTTACAGCATGTACCGTGGGAATGTGCTCGACACGTTGGTAGAGTTCCTATAGGTGTGCGCGCCCATGAAGACTAGTGCATCTCGGAGTACGACAGATTCCTCGATGGATGTCCGTCCGATACTGCGATCAAATTGGTCCCATGGATGTTTCGACGGATTTGAGATCAGGGAAATTTGGTGGCGGTAGTTGAGTCTGCATTGTGCTCTGTAGACAACTCTGGTCACGTGGCGCGATGCATGGTCTTGCCGAAAGATACCGTTGTCCCCTGGATCGGCAAGTACGAGTATACCTGATTAGCGACAATCAATAAACAATCATTTGTTTTGAAGTACCGTTTGCAAGTACCACCAGTCCAAGCCATGCCACGAAAACATTCCCTCGGTTATAATGCATCTCATCAGCCTGTCTCCTGCTAACAATATTGTACGGATGTCTGTTCTTGCGGATTTCTCACCTAATATGACACAGTCCAACCGCTCGATGGAGCAGAAATTTTAATTCTAGAAAACCACCCGTTGTCAAACTTCCAAGATTACCAAGCAAACCGATAGCTTTTTTTGCAAAAAAACAAAAGTCGTCCCCGTTGAGACGCTAGGCATCTACTCCACTCCGAGTTCTTGTGGACCTTTAGTTCATTTGGGCAGCCAGCTGTTCAATAAGATGCAATTGATCGTTTCCGTTTGTGTTCGCCTCCAGTCGGTGGCTTTTATGCTTGGTTTGTCGAAAAGCTGCCTCATTGTTTTGGTACACTTTCACCACTACAGCAAACGCTTCAGTTAGCTGCTTGAAAACGTGGCACCACATTTTCAAACAGCTAATTGCCGAGTCTGGTGTAATAGCCGATGAGCGTGCTTTTTTGAAGGTCCGATAGGTCGCATGCTTTGGCTCGCAAATGTCAAGCGTTAATCTTTTATGCATGGTGTTTATGCAATACATGTGGTATGACTTGCTAGAATTTGCTTTCTGCACTGGTAGTAGTCATAATAATGTGACTGAACAATGTACAGAATAATGAATGTATAATAAATATAAAGAACCAGTATTGAATTTTTAATTTAGTTTTAATATGTGAATTTAGTTTGTACTCTTATTTTTAACCATTATATTAATAGTTTAATGAACATTAACACCTTCCTTTAAAAAAAATGAAAAGTATTTTATAATAAACACTGGTAAAATTATATGTATGTTTGAAGTCACTTTGTTTTAAATTTCTTATAAGCATCAAAAACAAAAACAGTTATCTTGGAGCAAAGAATCATTTCACTGCTTCTCTAGAACTGTTATGGATGCAATAAAAACTATTTTTACACTACAGATTCCATCTCCATCAGCAGATGATGGAAATTGGATTTTGTGATGTATTGCTGCCCATTTTACTTATATTGTAACATGTGGATTGTCCTGCATTGCATAAATTTCATCATCCAATGTCATACATATGAACTGTCCTGTTCAATAATTTGAAGAAAAAACTATGCTGTTAAAATTTTTGCACAGTTTAATTAAGTACTCGGTGACAAAATTTACAATAAAATTTTAGGTATGATTGTATTTGACACAATGTAAATTAAATGAGTTACATTCTAATTGGAACTTAACATAAAAAACAAGAAAACAAATTTCCAATATTGAAAGCTAATTTATTTTTTAAAAAGCTAATAGATTAAAATACAATTTCATAGTAAAATAATATTTGTAAAGCTGAAATAATTACACAGAGAAATTCTTCTGCTTCAAAACACTAATTTTAGACTTAAACCTAGCCCCAGAATGAGTTATCGACAAAGATATTGTACAAACTGTCTTGAATGTATTAAAAGTCACATTGAATTTATATCAAATTTCATTTTTTATAAGTCCAAGACAAATAATTTTGCCTTGAGCACTCGTAGACCAGTTTTTAACTAAAAATTTTAGCTAGACGTGTTGAAACCTGAAATGTTAAACTATCGGAAGTCATTCACTTGGTCTGCAATAAATAGTCTGAAATAACATTAAAGAAGAAGCAAATTTTAAGCTAGGTGTAATTCACTTCTAACTGAAAAATGCATCATTTTTGTTCAGTTAGCCATTGGCATATATTTCAAAATTCTTCAAAGTTACACTCACAATGAAAATGTTAACTATACTACACAATCAACTAGATTAATTCTAATATGGATAAATTAAAAGGAAATTACTCTCTCATGTTTTAATTCTTTTCTAAAACATAGCCTACATGTTAAATTCTGCTAGATTCTCATTTAACGAATTCAAACAACAATTTCTCATTAATTATAACAAATTATTATATTTTCCTCTTCAAATATTTACATCTTCAAATGAATTACAGAAAACATACCACAATTTTTTGTAAAAATATATAGATATTGGGAAGGTAAAGAAATTACAATAAACTAAACCTTTGAGAAAGAAAAATGCAATATCTTTTGGCAAAATAAAAGCTAAATGCAGTAGTTTAAAAAAGGAAAAAAAAAACAACATTTGAGAATTCATTAAAATGAACATAAAGTTGTTTGTATTTTCCATTTAAGTAATGAGAAAATTAAATCTATAATTAAATTTTACAGCTATGTTGACCTATATTTTAACAAGATATGAAAACTATGCACAGACCAAATAAATAATTGAGATATGTCTTTGTTTCAAAAACAGATGCATTTTAAGATGCTTTCAGACTGTTTACAGAATTCCATTGAGTACTTCCCAATAGAATGCAATTTTTATTAGTGATTAATAATTAAGCAAATTTAGGCATAATGAATAAAGGGTTAACATGTTAAGATTTTTAGCAGGATTAATAAAAATATAAGTTACAGGAAATAAAATATTTGAAAGAGAAAATGTCAAAACCAATTTAAAATTTTTTAAGGTTAAATTATACAAAAATCTCTTTCCATTTACAACAATTAATGTAATTGTAAATGTTAGGATGTTTAAAGAAGAAAGAGGAAATATATATATAGTAAGTAGTCAAAACTAATATTGTTTTACAAATTAAGATTTCAAGAACAATTACATATGAAGTTCCCTTGGAGGCTTATACAATTTATCGCACTTTTGTCACCGGCAGGAACAATACAGCAGCAACTGCACCTGTGAAAAAACACTTGGAAAGTCCAGATTAAGAATCATCATATTTGATTCAGGCTGTTTGATATTTAGGTTCAAATTTAAAAATGCTGTCTATTCAAGGTCAAAATTATATATTTAAACTTTGAAATTTAAGAAATATATTATTAAAATTTATCTTATATCAGGACTCTCTAATATTGTCTACATTTAATTAATTAAAAAAAAAACAAAACAAATTTGCGGATAAGAATTTTACGCAGTGCTATTTAGCCCCTTTCCAGAACACAGGATCGGCAGCAAATGCCCTGCTTGTCAGCTCCCACAGCAACAACAGCACTGCACACTGGGCCCTAAAATCTGGCAGCCAGGTACATATCCGCATTCAGCTGGTACAGGAACCAGGAACAACAGGAACAGGACAGCACAGGAACCATTAACTGCAACACTACTGCGCCTGTGGTTATATAGAAATAAACATCAGTCAGAATTTTAAGACAGTTTTTATTGTACCAACTACATAGAAAAAAAGATGCTCGTCTCACTAAACATGACAAAAACATTATACTCGATTGCATTTAATTAATATGTTTCTTATAAGAAAGTTTACATAAAAACAAAGCAAAATTCAATAATTAAGACTGTTATTCTTTTGCTTAATTTAATCGTTGTCATCTGCCATGATATGCAGTTGCTACTTTCATGGTATGCTGCATTTTTATAAAACTTCCAAAACTGAAAATGCAGTGGGTCCACTTGTGAACCGAATTTATGATCAATTAACTGCATTTATTCGCTAGCAATCTGCAATATAGTCAGATAATTTTAAACATTTCTTAATTTTGTAATGCATTATATTCCTGGAATCACAAAGAAAGGTGACAATAAGTTTCATTTACTATTGAGAAAAATAAACATTAAAGAAAATTATATGATAGAATTAACTTTCAGCACTAATATTATTCAAATATTTGAGTCTATGTTAAATAGATCCTGTTTAAAGTGTATGTCATGTTTGATTCTTTAAAAAGAATTACTAAATTATAATATTCAATTAAAGAAAGTTATAAAGAAAAATGAATCATGCTGTAAAGATCAACAATGAACTAAAAATTATGAAATAAGCAGATTAAAGTAAATGTGTCGTATTTTAAAAATCATGCAGGTAGATAATTAATCCACCAGCAAATTAATTATTTATCCCATGCATAATACTGGTGTACTAATTAAAAAAATTTTTTTATGAAGGGTAGATGACAGTATGTCAATGAATAAAGTGAAAAAAGTTAACACATAACCTTCAAATTATAAGAACAATCCAGAGTTATGCACAATATTCTGCCTGGAATTATGATTCTTGTAATGTCATGATGCTTACTCCAAGTTGTAATCATTATGGACTTTGTGATTTACTTCTGCTTCTGCTTTCTCTGGCATTATTATTATTTTCTGCACTCCTACTTCTGCTTCTACTACGACTTTTGCTTCTGCTACGGCTTTTGGTTGGACTTCGACTTCTGCTTCTGCTCTTACTACGGCTCTTGCTACGACTGACGCTCTTTGCAGGGCTCTTGCTTGCGCAAGGGCTCTGACTACCATCTCTGCTCTTACTTCTACTCTTGCTTCTCTTTTCACTACCATTCTTCTCTTTACTAACACTCCGACTCCTACTTCTACTTTGGCTTTTGCTAGGACTCTTATGCTTTCTTTTTCCTCTACTTTTACTCCGGCTTCGGGAACGAGATCTGAAAGTTAAATACAATTTTTAAAATTTACTTTTATATATATATGCGTTATAATAGATTATAAAAGAAAATAAAATATAACTTAATATTTTGATTACATTAATGTATTTTAAAAACTTGTTATTAAAGTTTTCAAAGGTATTAGCTGTATAAGCATGTCAAAAGTGCCCCCAAACAAAACTGAAATTTTTTATAAAGCATATGATTTGTCTTGGCATTAAACCACTTGGCATCATTTTGTTAGAAACTATAGAAATTCTCTAGTACCAAGATGTCATTTGAATTTTGGTTGAGTTTGATTTTTATTCAAACTTAGTACTAGACATTATAGTAGTGTTTAATAATAACTTTGATAATTCTTGAATTAGTGCAAGAACAAGTACCCACAACACAGTAAAGATATTATCAAATCTATAAAGATGTATATTGCCTTTTTCTCAAAAAATAAGCAAAGTTTTTATATGGACAAGTTTTTGATTGAAATGGCTACAAAGAAATTCTGCTATAATTTGTAATGTAATTTGGCAGTAAAATGCTGGTTTTTAATTCCATTAACTCCTTTTCCTGAATTTTTTAAATTTCACATCCTTAAAAATCTGACAAAAATATGTTTTTTTATCTCATGAAAACACATTTACAAAAAATGGAGACATTACTACCATATTTTTTATAAGAAAACCGTATTTGAAATTTTATTTTTTAATTTTGATTTTGCCAAAAAGTCTAAATAGAATTTTTTCAGATGTAAAATAATAATTCACAGCACTATATTTCTAAAATGTTCATAAATAAATAAAATTAAAGACAGAAAAAGAGGAAAACATGATTTTCAACAGAATAAAAGAAGTTAAGCACTTGAAAATTGCTACACTATAATTTAATACCAAGGAAAATCATATGCTACATAAAAAATTCAATTTGATTTGGGACACTTCACACATTTATTTGGCAGACCCTTTATTTAATTAGAGTTAAATAAATATATATTTAGTCCATAACATGATAATTCAGCATACTGTTTTTGCAAATCTCTATGAAGTTGAGAAATACAAAAGACGTATTCCACAATGTCAGGGAGCCATTTTCTAAAATCTGAGAGAGCATATTTTTGCAATTTTAGAGATTTAATCATATTTGGCATGTTTGGAATAATTGGACTATTTAGTTATACCTTATAAATAAAAGGGCAATTTTGTTTGTATGTATATGTTATATATGAGGCCTTTGCAGTGTTGTTTGTATTTGCATCATTGTTGAATTTTGTCTTTTTTTCTCTCTAAACTTTTACAGAAAAATTATCCTTACTTTACTTTCCTATAAACCCATTCCATCATATATTTTTTAAAGAAAAAGTCCCACAAATATCTTTCAAATGACTATAAAAGTTTTGATGACACTGCCTATAGATCAATCTTACACAAAAAACAAAAAAGTCATATTATTTAATTTCATGTTCAATTACTTTCATTTTGGAAATAATTAAATTTTGTTACCATAATTTACTAAGAACATGTGACATAAAATACACAACAAAAAACCCAAGTCCTTCCAGTGGCAATGTTTTAACAAAATATGAATGTTTTTGAAGTCCTCCTGAAGTCTGCATCAGGTTTAAAAATATAAATTCCATAATGGAATGAATCAAACAAAATGTCTGAAGAATTTGAACCTTAAATCAATAAATTTGAAAAGGTAATAAATATGACTGAACTAATCAGGAATGCAAGGGTAAGAGTGAGTGGTAAAGATTAAATAGAAGTGCAACTGCCAAGTGCACAAAATTTGTTTTTCATCTTTATGATTAATACAGTTGCCTAATTGGTCTGCTGTAAAGATCTCCAAGGCTTCTAAATCTCTAATACAGTCATTATGTTGTTATAATCGATTACCTGAGGTTAATAGATTATACCTTGCCTCACCAAGTTTAGTTTCAACGTTGTCAGAGGCATACATGGACAGAGTAGTGGATGATTTCATGCTGTCAATAGCATATTTGTGCTCTTTTAAGCATTGCTTGAGGGATATGATCTAAACAAGGAATATGTTACCAGCTAAAATTACCTAAAGTGATGTTATTTAATTGGCATCTCTTTACCCAAGTACCAGTAATTTACTTGATTCCTTCCAAGGTAAAAATCTAATGATGCATGACTATTTTGAAAGTACTTTAAAAATTTTATTATTATTTTCCATCTAATTTCAATTTTAATAGCAGAACAGTTCAAATTACTTTTCCAAAAGTTCTCTTTCTCTTCTTAAAATTACTTTCTTAATATTTTGAGAGGAGAAAATTTTTTTAACTTTTGTAAATATTTCTGCAAAATACAATGAAATAAGTCTATGCAAATATGTGTAAATAAAATAAATTTTATTAAGGGAATCAAAATAAAAAATTTGTTGATGTAACAATGAAAGCAATTATTCAATTTCAAGGTGTCTACCAGAAGTTACTTTTAATTTTTACAAACTTTTTTCAGTTTTTGCATGACCATAGTAAACTGCACACATGAAGGTAAAAAAAGTACACTATTCCAATATAGTATGATTCACGAACAATTCATTTCCAAATAAGTTATTACACCAAGCTTCTTAACTTATGTGTTCCCAGTGGCATAGAGTGGCCACCCCATAAAAAACACATCAAACATATTTTGAACAAAAATGAAAAAGATGTAACTATAGGAAAAAAGAACCTGTAAAAAATTAGGACAGTGTTACCAACAGCTATTAATTAAGCGCAACTAATCACTTAAACAGGTAGGATAGTCAATAAAACTAAGAAAACACATTCCTTACCAAATTTTCAACTACAAACAATGTTTTGCAGAAAAATAAAATTGTGTCTGGCATCTTGTTGCTACTAGCCTAACAAAACTTTCCTTTTTATTACAATAGACCCAGTGTGTTGAGAGTTCATATGGGGTCTGGGAATAAAGCAGGTCCAGGCCCCTTCAGCCATCTTTTTTTGAACAAATGAAATATGTAAAATGTTTCTTTATTAATAAAAACCAATCTTAATGATTTTATTTCCTGTTAGTAAAAATAACATTAATTTTATTGGGATAGGAACCACTACAAGACCATCATAAGTTTTCTCCAAGCCTAGGAAAAAATCCCCACCTCACCTTCTCTCTCTGATGGCTCTGAGTAAGCCAAAAGTGCTGCCCCAAAAATATGCCATCAAGAGAAACAGCCCTAGATGTGCTACTGTGTGCCTCCAAGATTAGTGAGTTCACTGTAACTCTTAAAATTTGTGGTGGTGCCATCTGTTATAAAGTTTTTAAATAAAATATGACATTTTTAACTATTATAAAATAGCAAAAAGCTTAATTTTAAGGGTAGGGACGAGTTTTATGAACAATCGTAAATGCTAATAACGAGTAAAATCTTCATTAAGTCCAATGCTACTAGAGATTTACATAACCCCCCTTTATCTCCCCTACCCCTCGACTTTTAATTACCAAAATTTAATATCATCGATCTCCCTAATAAACAAACCTCCCTGCAAATTTTCAGAAATTTTTGGCAAAAACCACAGAAGTTATTAATCTTCAAAGAGGATGAAAATCATGCTCCCCACACACTAATAACCATACATACAGAATTATCCTCTAAATTTTTTTTGCATTTTAATGTTTCAAGGTGTCTTAAAAGTCCAAAAATGTAAACTTTTTGAGGGTCATTTTTTCACTGATTGCCATACTTTCCCTCTGTTATATATAATAGCTGGAAAAGTAAAATCAGTTGCAATTATTTTTAAAAAATGTAGTAAAGGTTAAAAAAACATGCAGGTAAAATTAAATAAATAAAACAACAACACACAAATAAATAAATTTATGAAAAATAATTATAAAATTATTACTAAATTAACACTAAACAAATTAAACTTAAAATTAAAACTAAAAATAATAACCAAAACTCTGGCATTTACAACAAAACTGACACTAAAATCAACTTTTAAATTTACATTATTTGTATGTAGTGGTGATGTCACATTTTGCTTTTAATACAGTAGTGTATCACTTATAACAAACCAATTTTAAAAGTACAAATGAAACATCCATAAGAGCAGTATTATTTTTTCCAGATACAATGAACCCATATATAACAATTATTATTTGGATTTAAAAATTGAAAGTTATTGCTTATTACAAATCATGCATACAAAGAATACTAGAGTTATCACTAGGATTTTTAAATAAAAACTTTTCCCCCTAACATAATGAGAGTGGTTAAACAAAACCTAAAATGGGAAATGTTGCTTAACTTTTTTATCACAAATTTAAATTTTCATTTAATGAAAATTAATCGACAGGACAATAAGTATATACTTAGAAAATTTTTTTTAAATTTCCTACAGAAAACTTTAAGTGTCCTCCGTCCTTTTAGTCCTTTTGAACACCAGCAGGAAATAACAATTTCATGGCGTAGATGACCTTTATTTAAAGGCTTCTCCCCACCTTTTAAAGTTCACCCTTAGGAAATTTTTTGCAATTTTTCAAAGTTTAAATTTGTATACTCTCTCAGTACCAGTTTTACTTCACTAAAGTATTGTCTGAGATTAATCTACCAGCCAGTAACAATGAACTTAGAAATTTGCACTGTTGAGGAATTTCATTTGTTATTTGTAATTTAAATTTTAAATGTTATTTGTGATCTGTTATTAAAAATTAAATGATTTTCAAAGGTATTTTGTTCAATTTCCTGCCCATTTAACATTTGGAAATTTAAAGTGTGTTATTGATTGACTAGAAAATTTCAACTGTAAATACAGTTAAAATTTTCTAGCCAAAAAGTTGGATGGTTTGGTTTTGTTCATCACAAAATTTAAAATTTATGCTGTCATTGGTTAGAAAAATTCTGTTCACTGACATTGTTTATAAAGAGTAACAAACTGCATGTAATCTTGAGGCATGTTGACCCCTGCCATTTGCTGGGTCAGAATTACAAAGTACTGTGCATACAAAGGGTCAGAATTACAAAGTCCTTCTGAATTACAG